GAAAAGTCTTTTTAAAAGTTCACAGATTCGACGGGCGAATTCGCCTTCAGATTCTGCAATTCGCCCGAGGAATCTGTGAACTTTTAAAAAGACTTTTCGTTTTTCCTCAATAACTCCCGAACGGATGGACGTAGGGGGGCGTATTTAGAAGCATTTTGTAGGGGACGACGAGATCTACAATTTCTGCGTAAAAAGAATTCGCTAGTGCCAATAGTTACAGAATTATTTGCAAAAAACTGTTTTTCTGTTTTTCGCCAATAACTTCCAAACGGATGGGCACAAGGGGACGTGTTTAGATCCATTTTGTAGGGAACGGCGAGAGCTACAATCTCTATATAAAGGTTTCTCGCTAGCATCAACAGTTCGCGAGTAATTTGCAAAAAACCGTTTTTCGTTTTTCGCCTATAACTCTTTAACTATTGGCACTAGCGAATTCTTTTTGCACAGTAATTGGAGACCTCGTCGTCCCCTACAAAATGCTTCTAAATACGCCCCCCTACGTCCATCCGTTCGGGAGTTATTGAGGAAAAACGAAAAGTCTTTTTAAAAGTTCACAGATTCGACGGGCGAATTCGCCTTCAGATTCTGCAATTCGCCCGAAGAATCTGTGAACTTTTAAAAAGACTTTTCGTTTTTCCTCAATAACTCCCGAACGGATGGACGTAGGGGGACGTATTTAGGCTCATTTTGTAGGGGACGACGAGATCTACAATTTCTGTGTAAAAAGAATTCGCTAGTGCCAATAGTTACCGAGTTATTTGCAAAAAACGAAAAACAGTTTTTTGCAAATTACTCGTAAACTATTGATGCTAGCGAGAAACTTTTATATAGAGATTGTAGGTCTCGTCGTCCTCTACAAGAAAGGTCGTATGCCATTTTCCCGAACTCGTTAAATATCGAAGTTAGAAGAAAAACAACTTTTTCGTCAGCATCAATACTTAATTGGATATTTCCTTCGATACTTTTTTGCACGTAGCTATTTATTATTAGCATTATTCTTCCGACGTCTGGTTTGTTTTTAATTATAGGAAATGCGTTTTTCTAAGGCACATAAACTTTTGGGATTAACTGTATAGCCAGTACATCCTTAACAAACGTACCTGCGGACCCTGCTCCTATTACGATAAAATCGTAGGAGGGTAGCAACACTTCGGACGGTATGTTAATCGGCGGTGCTTCGTTGTCCATCACTTCGTATTGGAAGTAGACCAACGCTGCCGCGAGCACCGGGAAGAACCACGAAAGCCCGCTCGACGCCGAAGTCAACCCACCCGCTAAAACACTTTCAATCCCCATCTTCTACTCCTTCCTAAGCGTTCTTATCAACTGTCTGCAATAATAATAAGAGATCAGAAATAAACAAACACCGATTAAATAAAATTCACTAAAAGGTGATTATTTTTAATAGGACACTCTTTGTCAAAAAATAATTAAAACGTATGTACAGATTGAATACGAATATTTATTATAAACGAAGGATGCTTTTCAAAATAATAGTTCAGACATTTTTTGTATTTAATTTCTAATATTTTTGCAATTTAATTATTAGTTAAAAATGTTTTGTTCTCTTTTAGTAAAAAATGGAATATTACACTCTTGTAACGATTAGAATTATTATGAAGAAACGCGAAATAAAAAAGATCGATTCTCGGCACTGGTTCGAAAGTCCCTGTTCGTGAAGCAGTCTCTTGGCTACTGAGGAATTGGTTCCGATACCGTAGAAATCGGTCGAAGGAAACCCCGGGACGAGTGGCGCACGTGTTGCCATCACTAAACGAGAGGAATATCAATGACACGTGAAACTTTCAGTTGTTAAGTAATTCTCTATTAACGCGACGTTCATCACGTACCACCCTGGCGTCGAAAGTTTCCGCGAAACTGGATCGCGCAAACAACAAAAGCAAACTTTTATCGTATCGATTTAAGAATGTATTGGCTGGGAAAAATGATTACCATAAGGGAACATGCAACTTTTAAGTCATTGTAATTTTTCAAAGAACCCATGAATTGATTTAAAATTTTACAGGTAG